TAAAGGCGCACTCCACCGTCAGCTTTAGGGATGACCACCAGTGGTGACCCCCAGTCACTATTGGCAACCTTGGTGATTATGCCAGCCTTCTCCAACTCTTCCAGCTCCTTGTTAACACGCTCGGTTAAGGCGTATGGAATTTGACGCTCTTTTGTATAGGTTGGTGTGGCATCTTCACGCAATTGAAGTGAAACTTTATGGCTAGGGATGCAGCCAATCTTTTGTTGAAATACAGCTGAAAATTCGGAAATGTATTCTTGAATGTCGCTCGACTCACCGATAGAATTGGTAACCATGTTGTTCGACTTATGTTCGTCTAGCTCGTTTAGATTAATTCCTAGACGACGTATCCATGTACGACCAATTAACGCCGAACACCCGTCTGGGACAACGTAGAGATCATCGATGAATGAAACGTTTTTGTATTTTATATTTACTCGGACTTTCCCATCTGGTACGAATTTATCTTGGGTGTATGATCGGAAAACGATGTTTGTGGCGGTTAATTGGTTAGACAATTTTAATTTCCCAAATTCACTCCTAGGCAAAAATGAGTATCCAGAGCCAGAATCTACTTCAAAAGATACCACTCTACCTTCTATGAAGATATTCGCATAGTAACGCTCAGCATTGGCATTTGCGTAATCGTTACGGTACACATCCACGATTTTATAAATACCGTACGAATCATCACGTACTTGATTCGTGGACGCCTCCCTCGTACTGGGTTTACCCCGTCGTCCGGCATTAGGACCATCCGCCAAAAGTGAAGCAATGCAGACTTTTGCTACATGCCCTTGCTTGGCACACAAGTTACATTTAAGATTTTTGTTAGAGCGACACTCCTTCGCAAAATGATTGTTTTTGCCGCAGCGTAAACATAGACCGGCAATACCTAATTGCTCGTAATTGACTTTACGCTTCTGTTGCCCCTGACGAGATTTGAAATTTTTCGATGGGCTTTTATTAAAAATTTTATTTATATCCGTCGAATTTGAAGAATTTGCCGTTGCTTGGGACAATTCTCTGGCGTCCATCTTCGCAGCCTCTAGAGCCAATGCCTTCCCAACAATTTCATCAATTTTCGCCGTACTGGATTGAAGAAGTTGTTCGCGTACAGTATTGTCACAAAGGCCTCGAATAAATTGTGCCCTCAAAAACACATCGGCTATGGACGCTCCACATTTGCACGGTGAAACAAATTCGCACGAATTAATATCAGTACGGAGTGCAGCCACAAAATCTGCCACTGATTGCCCTTGCATCTGATATTTTGATAAAAATTTGTGTTGTGCCACCAACACATTCTTTTTCGGTGCTAAATGATTTTGCAAAATGGTTAGCAATTCATCGTATTGCAGATCTGCCGCTGCTCTGGGCGCTGCCAACGCCGTCACCATGTTAAAGTACTTCGCACCAATAGAGTTAAGAAGCAACTTTGTACAGTACTCCTTATTAGCACTGACGCCCTTCATTGCAATGTAGTTGTTAAACCTCTCTATATAATTGGTATACATTTCCTTTGCCGGATCAAAATGATCGAAGTTTGGTACCAATGTCGTGTTGATGCTGGTGTTGCTGCTGCCTTGCGCTGCACTTGAAGTAGGAGCACCCAAAGTCATCTTCGATATTTGGCTAAACAACGCCTTTTGCATATCCATAAACGCGGCAAATTGAGATGCATCCATTTTGTTATATTTGTGTTGTTGTTAAAAGCTTGCACTTGCTTTAATAGAAAAAAAATATGCAGAATATTAGTTTTCCAAAATAATATTCCACTTTTTACGCTCGTCGCCAAACTGTTGTGTCTTGTTGAGACTGATGAATAAATAATGCACGATCTTTACGTTATAATGATAATGATACTTTATTATAAATAGCTTAATCTACGATAATGCAAAAAGGATCGAATTGAAAATGGTGACCGGTTGCTTTGATTGAAATGTACGAATGAATACAAAACAAAGATGCTGTAGTGACAAGTGCCATATGTTGCCACATCGTCACGAGCAGAAAGTATCACAATACAATTACATGGAGTGTAACAATGACAAGTGGTTACGGATCTCACTTAAGTCACCACAAAAATACAGCAGTTGAGGAAACACGGAACATTAGACGAATCATTCTCCATATACAGTTTAAATCCGTTTTTTGTTACAGAGGAATGCTTTGAGTCGGTGGCAGGTTAGAAGGGACATCCTTAGCACTTTGTAGGAGCCAAAAATCAGCCTTATAGAATCAAACAGTATTTGGAGAGAGTATCAGAAAGGAAATAGCCGAGGCATGCTCAAGAGAAGGTACTAACTTCCAGTTTATACCCCCAAGAGCTCCACATTTTGGTGGCTTTTTGGAAGCTGCGGCTTCGTACCACAAGTAGTACATCCTTAACTCACGAAGATTCGGAAACAATTGTTATCGAAATAGATGCAACCCTGAACTCCAGACCGCTAACCCCTATTTCTAGCGATCCAAATCAACCAGCAGCATTAACACCTGGTTATTTTTTTGTGGGAGAGCCTTTATCGGCATCAGCGAAACAATTGTCCACATCATTGACAAGAAGATGGAGATAGTATCGCATGAGTTCTGGAGCCTTTGGTCTACGGAATACCTAAGTACTCTTCAAGAAGGAAGGAAATGGAGTACACCATCAGCAATCGTTGAGCTTGGTAATTGGTCGTTATTAAGGAAGACAACATGCCTGCAATGCAGTGGCCCCTAAGCAGAATAACCCGAACATGCAAGGGTAACGATGGAGCCGTTCGTGTAGTGGACGTAAAGACACAAAACGGTTAAGTTAAAAGAGCCATAAACGGATTAGCTCTTGCAACACCTGTTGGATCTGCTAAGGAATCAGACATATATTATTGATTCCACAATCAACAAAATCAGAAAGGATGAAGGAATGAGTCAAAAACCTTCGCCAACATGCAAGTAAAAATGAACTTTCTGGTAAACAAGGTGAAGAAGGAGGAAGATATTGCAAAAGCAACACAATCAATTATTTTCCTCACTTCGCAGTTCATGCAACTTTCATCAAGGTTAGAACATATAGAAGACAACTTCATCGATGTATTATCGGATGCTCATCAGAATCGTATAAGTCCATTACTACTTACCCCACATCAATTGCTGATCGAGCTCCAAACCATTAAGGCTCATAATGCGTCATATCTGAGACTTAAGCCACTATATTCCATAATGTAGTAAGCTCGTTTTGCTCAGCACAACATTAAACAGAACCTATGACACACGCGCAGTTGAGCTCGTTACCTAACACTAGCAGGTAAAAACCATTGAAATCGGAAGCCTTCCAGAACTAATAAAATCGACAGCCATTCGCCATCATACCATCAGTTATCTAACTCTTTGTGTTGGAATTGAAGTAGCCATATAAGTCGCAGTCAAGTTTTGCCACTACAAAACTTCCAAAAACTTAGGTCCAACACCCATACCCCGGCTACTGACTGCGTCATTGACCAGACAGTTTATTGAACGTTCCCTGTTCAACGTGGGGGAGAATGTTCAAAAGAACATATTTTTGATTAACATTTTAAGTTAAGTTTTAATCATTACTTTCCAATAATTGGACACTATTAGATCTGATATACTTTTTCATGAGCGGCAGTAGGGTTTTTTTGAACTGTCATTCACAGGTACAATGAAACAATTATTGCTTGACCGCTCAACACCACCGAAAACCCTGTCCATGATGGTATTTCCCCCTCCCAATTTTCGACTCATCAATTTCAACGGTGCCCCCGATTTGTAGTTTGGTTTGGAACGAACTGTAAATCACAAGTTGTCCCAGTCCACCGCTGTTGAATATTAATGGACTTCTCCTCCATTATATCTTCCGATGTGCCTTTCCACATAGTCCATATGATTTGGTAAATGGTCAAATGTGAATTTTCGAAAACGTTCCTTTTCGTAAGGAAGGATAGAAATCACATTTTCCATTCTTGCGGTTCCGGAATTTTTTAACAACCTAAAAATATCATAATAAAAATATTGATGTATAACTTATGTTTTATTACTTACCTCCTCGCCCAACCATTACAATTAACACCCCTCGACAATTTTAATATGTGGCCCTTATCAAATTTTAACAATCCCTCCATTGGAATCAGGCCACACTCCTCCGACTTTTTAAGCACTGTAGCCTATATGGTTCCATTTTTCCCACCATTAAACTACTTGACTATGTACGAAAATTTCACAACTATATTTCAAATTTCGATATAAAGTATGTGAACACTTGTCGCACAGAAAATAACGGTTCAATTTTAATGTGCATAAAAAATAAAAGTTAATTTCCTATGTGCTTTCCATTCTTCTTTTTTAACACATTAGTTAAGAAGGAGAAAGATGTACTTTAGTAACAAATCGATTTTCTTTTAAATTTCACAAAAAATTTTATTTTTAGATTTATTCGTTTTTGAAAAAGCCTGGGTTATATACAACTCCAGGTTCGCCAAGTAAAAGTTTTCAAAGTAGTCGACCTTCGGACGGGTCTTGAGCTTTTCTCCTCTGGGATATATCCAACTCTGGCATCGCAAAAAAATTGGAACCCTATATCTTGGGAAGTACGGACCCATCTCCGAAAATGTTTTGTTGTTGTAATAGCTTTTACTTCGATTATTGGTGTAGAAATAGCAAAATTAAAAAGGGGACCCTATATCGCGGGAAGTATTTATTTCCCCCGAAAAAATGCATTTTCGCCATTGGTTGCCATTTTCGTTAGGGTCGAAGTTCGTCATCAATTAGAACGATAGATATCTTCGGGTGGCACCTCCTAAGTTTGTCCCTGTTAATCAAGCATATGCTTGATTTAAAATATTGCAGATATGGCAACTACTCCGAAATATAGACACTGAACTCGATCAATGCGTACAACCAAATGTACTGTATTATTGTGATTTTATGAATTGTTTGATGCCGGTATTGTGTAATCTGTTCCTGCTCATATTGACAATGGTATTGAATTCCATGCCCGTTTCGAAATGCATTTACTAAATTGGGAAAAGCATGTCGCAGTGACTTGGTTATAACAACATTATATGATATGTATACCGTATGCTGTATTATCATATGTATAATTTAGTGGCCAGACTTAGTAAATATCTATGTATATTTAACAGTGCTTTTGCATTGGCTACATACTGGAAATATGTAAAATCTGGCAACACTCTGCTTACTGAGTTTCCAGAATTCTATTAACTTTAACAACAAATTAAACAATTTGTGATTAAGTGCCCGGGATATATAAAAACGGAAAGAAATATATTTTGCAAATGTGACTACGTCTGCCAAGTAGGCATGTAAGCTGCAAAAGAGTCTGTAACATATTGGTGGTAGTTGCGTATGTTAAACTTCCAGTGCTACTTTTCTCTATACCCTTTGTTTTGTTGAATTTAGCATATACTCTTAAAATTGCATGTTGCTGCAAATTCGCGTCGCAAAATAAAAACCCATAAGATTTGAACATTGTAAATGATCATTAATTAACAATGAATAATATTAGGCAGTGGCTATTAAGGAACGCATTAAAATCGAAGATGCCCGACATTTCATAAAAGATGTGAAATATTGCAGAGGAGCCAAGCGAAATATTGTATTATGGAATGGAAAAGAAGAAGGTAATTATGAACTCTTCTCATGCATTTTCACAAAGTAAATTTTTTGGACTTTTATTGATCAGAGGAACTATTTTTTTTTTATTGTATACAATAAATATATATATATATATATATATATATATATATATATATATATATATATATATATATATATATATATATATATATATATATATATATATATATATATACATATATATATATATATATATATATATATATATATTATATATATATATATATATATATATATTGGCTTAAATCTTCTTCTTTAGTAAAACCTCTTCATTTTTTTTGAAATTTTTCCCAGAGGTGGGTATTTTTACTCTAATTCCGGAATATTTTTTTTTTGGGTGACGGACCCGCGAACCCAGATTTTTGACTACAAAGTCCGGGTTCAAAACCCGGCCCGGATATAGACAATATAGGTATCGTTCTTCTGAAGTTATAGTCAAATTATCCACTTTTTTGACCCTGATTCTTTATAAAACCCCCAAAAAGTCCAAAAAGGGCCCATTGTGTGCGCATCCTCATTAACCGTGCAGAATGTGGAGCCGTCAATCTGCTCTACCAGCGCTGATCCTCTCTGGTCAGTCCTAAGGATTCCATGTCTGCACCCCAAGTGCTGCCGGCTGGCGCCTTGAGAAACCTGTTCCTACTTTTCATCTTGTCGCAGATAGCTGTGGCTTGCGCGGGCGACTTGAATATGCTTTCGAATGTGACCCCTAGAATCCTGGGCTAGTTCGTGGTCGGCATTGAATTCCCCTCGACCTGCACATTCAGCTGTGTTCTTTTTCGGGTGGAAGCATGCTATTCTATTCCTCACGTGGAAGTTTGCAAGCTCAGAGAGATAGGGTTTCAGCCTTTCGCTTATGTCATCATCATCCGCATAAGTTACGATCTCTATGCCGTCTGGAGGGCGAGGAATTCCGGAAATGTAGAAGTTAAACAGTTCCGGAGATATCACCCCACCTCGGGGAACTCCCTGTTTCACTCTACGGGCTTTGGACTTCTTGTTCCGGAATTCCACGTACGACTCGCGTCTACACATATAGTTGATTATCCAACGTCCTCAAAGTCCTATGTGCTCAAAGCAGTATGGCATTATTGACCTATCGAATGCCTTTTCCTTACCAACACTCTTCTGTCACACGGCTTGTTCAATTTTCTACTAATATGTGTGGAAATGGCGTGTAATGCTGTTGTGGGACTATGTTGTGGATGGAATGGTTGGCAACTGGATAGGGGTAAAGCCTCAAGAGTCTTAGCTACTGGCGACAAAAGCGAAATCGGCCTGTACTATTTGCCTTTACCGGCATCCTTGCCTGGCTCCAGTAGCGGATGACATTTGCAACATCACCCGTCGGAATCTGTGGTGGTTTCTCCTCGGCGGGAAGAGATCTGATACGACGTAGTACTCTTCGCTTCGCCCTGTCGCTATCAGGGTGCTCGACAAATTGTCGGTTAAAATACTCCGCGCACATCTTCGGATCAGTCGCCGTTACGTCGTTAAAAGGGACTGAGGTCCTATCATGCTTTTTTCCAGGGTTCTAGAGCGACGTAACCGTTACCCTCAGCTTACTTATATCGGTTCCAATGTTGCAACACTTGTAGCCACTTTTCCCTCTTATGTTTCGATACCAACCGCTTCTCTGAAGCGACGGTGAATTCTCTGAACTCTGGCCAGTGTGCTTTCCCATGGTTAAGGAGAGTGCGGTGTGACACTATGGTTGAGTCTGGCGAACTGTGACACTCTCCTCTTCTTCGGGTGTTCGCATCCTCGTTAACCGTGCAGAATGTGGAGCCGTCAATCTGCTCTACCAGCGCTGATCGCCTCTGGTCAGTACCTAGGACGGAATGCCACAACTCATGGTGGGCATTAAAAAAACCCCTAGTACCAGGCGATTATATGGTTCTCAGCTATTAATCGGGGGGATATACTCGTTAGGCACCTCTACCTCGGCAGTTCAACACTTTACTGCTACCCTCATACGTTCCATGTATGGGTCATTAGAGACTAGATCAAGCGAGATAGGCCTGTACTGAACAGGAACGCATATCCCCCTCCCCCACTTCTGGTGCGATCCTTCCTTAGTACGTTGTAACCATAACAACGTTTTAGGCTGCAATTTTCATTCAGCTTGGTTTCCTATAACGCTGCGATCTTAATATTCCTTCGATACATAAATTCCACTATCACATCTTTTTTGCCTCGGAGTCCGTTGCAATTGAATTGCAAGAACGTTGCACAATCCGGAGTTGGAACAGCAACATGTGGCGTTATATCAAATCGCTGATTCTAGGATTTGTAGGGTTGGTACGGCGGAGATCATCACGCTAATCCCGCTGGCCTGCTGGGAAGTTTGGTCTTACCTCGGGTATTTGACCAGCCGATTTATGTATAGAGAGCGGCTGCAGCTTTGATGATGTGTCGGAAAATCCTTTCTGCTACCCGCACATCAGAAGGGTTGATCAGTTCTCTGAAGCGTCGGTTGGTGAATTTTCTGAACTCTGGCCAGTGAGCTTTCCCATGATTAAGTAAAGTGCGGTGTGACACTATGGTTGAGTCTGGCGAACTGTGACACTCTCCTCTTCTTCGGGTGTTCGCATCCTCGTTAACCGTGCAGAATGTGGAGCCGTCAATCTGCTCTACCAGCGCTGATCGCCTCTGGTCAGTACCTAGGACGGAATGCCACAACTCATGGTGGGCATTAAAAAAACCCCTAGTACCAGGCGATTATATGGTTCTCAGCTATTAATCGGGGGGATATACTCCTTAAGCACTTCTACCTCGGCAGTTCAACACTTTACTGCTACCCTCATACGTTCCATGTATGGGTCATTGGAGACTAGATCAAGCGAGATAGGCCTGTACTGAACAGGAACGCATATCCCCCTCCCCCACTTCTGGTGCGATCCTTCCTTAGTACGTTGTAACCATAACAACGTTTTAGGCTGCAATTTTCATTCAGCTTGGTTTCCTATAACGCTGCGATCTTAATATTCCTTCGATACATAAATTCCACTATCACATCTTTTTTGCCTCGGAGTCCGTTGCAATTGAATTGCAAGAACGTTGCACAATCCGGAGTTGGAACAGCAACATGTGGCGTTATATCAAATCGCTGATTCTAGGATTTGTAGGGTTGGTACGGCGGAGATCATCACGCTAATCCCGCTGGCCTGCTGGGAAGTTTGGTCTTACCTCGGGTATTTGACCAGCCGATTTATGTATAGAGAGCGGCTGCAGCTTTGATGATGTGTCGGAAAATCCTTTCTGCTACCCGCACATCAGAAGGGTTGGGCAGTTCTCTGAAGCGTCGGTTGGTAAATTCTCTGAACTTTGGCCAGTGAGCTTTCCCATGATTAAGTAAAGTGCAGCGTTCAGAGGTTCTAAAATCGGGCAACCTGCTTATGGAGACGATTATCGGGAGATGGTCTGAGCCAAAAGAAATGACGGGTTGTCAAGTCGCGTCATTTATCGGACCGGGTGACAAAAGCGAAATCCGTCTGTACTATTTGCCTTTACCGGCATCCTTGCCTGGCTTCAGTAGGGGTGCCACTCGGCCCATTTCGGGCACTATGTGGGTGGCTAGCGACATGTTGAGAACTCTCGCCGACCCTTGGCGTATCCAGCTGTTTCAGCATTACCATTGAGATTGCGTCTTTACCGAACGCTTTGGATAACTTAGTGCTACGGATGACATTTGCAACATCACCCATCCTAAAGTGTGGCTGTTCATCCTCGGCGGGAAGAGATCTGATACAACGTAGCACTCTTCGCTTCGCCCTATCGCTATCAGGGTGCTCGACAAATTGTCGGTTAAAATACTCCGCACACCTCTTCGGATCAGTCACCGTTACGTCGTTAAAAGTGACTGAGGTCCTATCATGCTTTTTCCAGGGTTCTAGAGCGACGTAACCGTTACCCTCAGCTTAGTTATCTCGGTTTCAATGTTGCAACACTTGTAGCCACTTTTCCCTCTTATGTTTCGATACCAACCGCTTCTCTGAAGCGACGGTTGGTGAATTCTCTGAACTCTGGCCAGTGTGCTTTCACATGGTTAAGGAAAGTGCGGCGTGACATCCTCGCATCCTCGTTAACCGTGCAGAATGTGGAGCCGTCAATCTGCTCTACAAGCGCTGATCCCCTCTGGTCAGTACCTAGGACGGAATGCCACAATAATAATAACAATAATAATAACAATAATAATAACAATAATAATAACAATAATAATAACAATAATAATAAATATAAAACCATACTAATAAAACATATAATAACAATAATAATAATATAACAATAAATAATAATAATAAGCAATATAATACAATAATAAATAACAATAATAATAATATAATCAACAATAATAATAATAATAATAAATAATAATAATAATAATCAATAATAAAATAACATAATAATAACAATAATAATAATAAACTAATATAATCATAATAATAAAATAATAATATAATAATAATAATAATAATAATAATAATAATAATAATAATAATAATAATAATAATAATATAATATAATAAATATAATAATAATAATAATAATATAATAATATAATAATAAATATAATAATAATAATAATACAATAACAATAATAATATAATAATATAAATAATAATAATAACAATAATATAATAATAACAATAATATAATAATAATAATAATAACAATAATAATAAAATAATAATATAATAATAATCATATAATATATAATTCAAAAATAATAATAATAATAATAAATAATAATAATAATAATAATACTAATAATAATATAATAATAAAATACTAATAATAATAATAATAATAATAATAATATAATAAATAATACTATAATAATATAATAATATAATAATAATAATCATAATATATAATAAATAATAAGAATAATAATAATAATAATAATATAATAATAATAATAATATATAAAATAATAATAAAATAATAATAATAATAATATATAATATAAATAATAATAATA